AACGACGACGGTCGCGGCCAGCGACGGCGCCGACGCTGACCAGGCCAACGACGACGACGCGTTTTGGCGGGGGGGGCCCGCGGCAACGCGCGCGCAAGGGCGATCGAATGATTTCGCCACGCGCGCGAGAGAAGCACGCTTGGCAGCAAGTTATGAGAAGGTTGGTCAACCGATAGCTTTCTCAAGAACTCGCAGGAGCGCGGGCGACAGCTTTTTGGGGGGATTCTCGCCTGCGATACTTTATGTTATGTGTTCATATGTGTTCGGGGTATTTGATTATGAAACCCTCGCGAAACATGACAGGGGTTTTGAAGTTCGGCATGCGCGCGCAACGAGGCGCGTGCACTTCGCCCTACATCACGTGAGAAAGTTATTGGAACTTCTGAGTTCGATACATGCGCGTAAGTTCTTCCCGGGAAACGAGGGCGGTGGCAATACTGCTCTAACTGGGACGACGTGAACACAGTGTCCCGATGGACGAGCGCAGAATCAATACGACGACGCAACACGCGAAGGGTCGCCTTTAAGTCCGGGGGGAAGGGGGGGAGAGTCTACATCTCTTGTGCGATAAATCAATGCGCTGCAATCTTTGCGATTCAGTCGACGCGGTGCAAGTGTTTTTTGTTCGCAGTGAATCCGCAGTGAGTTGTGAACTCTAGCGCTCGCGACATCATCCCACCCACCCACCCGCAACTTGGTCTGCAAAACCCATGCGGCGGCGGTTGCGATGAGTGCTTGGCGCGGGCTGGAGCATCGCTGCGGCCGCGCTAGCCCGCGCATGCTCGCGCGCGCAGCAGCCAGCTAGTTTGGAGCGACCGTCGCGGCCGCAGTGGCGATGACCGCCGGGCATTTCCAGTGGGCACTTTGGTGCGAATTGGCGACTTGAGCGGGCGCGGTATCATGGCAATGTCGGCAACGGCAGAGACGATGATGATAGTAGCGATGCTGGTGGCGATGACGACAACGACGACGGCACGGCCAGTGTCGGCGCCGATGCTGATCACGCCGACGACGATGACGGCGTCCTCGCATCGGTAATGAAGGTTCGGGAAGGAATTCGACATGCGCGCGCGGCCGACGGGCGAGTGGCCCACATGGTATTATTTGACTCAGATCGTGCCCCCCCCCCAACACGCGCGCAAGGGCGTTCGCATGATTTCGACATGCGGCGCGAGGGGCCCGCTTGGCAGGATTAAATGAACATGTGGAAAAAAAAAAAAAAAAAAAAAAAAAAAAAAAAAAAAAAAAAAAAAAAAAACTGTGGCTCCTCAAGAATTCGCAAGAGCGCAAGCGCAGGCTGTTGTGATAACTGCTGTTGCGAAAACGGGTATTTTGATACGTTTCCAGAGCACTCGATCTTGAAATCCTTACAGAAAACCCGGTTTTTGAAAGAATTCGGCATGCGCGCGCGACGACGCGTTTCCGTGTACTACGCCCTACTTTTTGCACGGGATGTTTGAAAACAGGCGATTTGTGATAAACAAATGTGCGCGCACATTTTTTTCCAGAGGATGATGGGGGCGACAAGGGTTTGGCTGAGGTGGTATGATATGATACCATAGTTTAATGGACGATGGGGCTGAATCATATGTAAATTTCAATACGAAAAGAGCAGCGGCTAAGTCTGGTGGGAGGGAGGTGGATCCTATAACTCTTCTGTCTCTTCTAAAGATTAATGTGTATACATACGTGTGCAAGACCATCGAAACAAAGAGATTTCAGTATATGTTATGTATTTATTTACACCAAAAAAGCAACGGGACGGCGACGGCGACAACATAGCCGTCAGACCGCCACACGGACCAAGACGACGGGTGGCGACAAGGCGGCGACGGGGCGGCGACGGCGACAACATAGCCGCCAGACCGCCACTGGCCCAGACGACGGGCGGCGACAAGGCGGCGACGGGGCGGCGACAGCGACCACATAGCCACCACCCCGCCACACCGGCCCAGAGGACGTGTGGCGACGAGGCGGCAACGGGGCGGCGACGGCGACAACATAGCCGCCAGACCGCCACACTAGCCCAGTTCCTGAGAACAGAAGTAAGAGCCCTTAAGTGCAAGCACCGCTTAGGGAATAACTCCTCCATGTCGCAACCCTACGACGTGTCGGTAGGGCGGGCCAGGCGTTTCGCCTGCGACTTCCTCACCATTTATGGTCCTGAAACTTTTTTTTTGAAACTTGAAATTGCAACAGTTTCAAGGATGCAGGGCGGGTGACTTTTCAGAATGTGGTACGTACCCGCCTTATCGCCGCGCGCACATTCGCCTGAAAGATTCGAAACAGTTTCGGGGATGGAGGACGGTTTCTTTTCAAAATGTGGCTCTCGCATTAGCGCCGCGCACATTCGACTTAAATGTTAGCAGCTGCTTCAAGGATGGAGGGCGGTCAATTCTCGAAGCGTGGCTCTCGCCTTGGCGCCGCGCGTACATTCGTCTGAGAAAATCGCAAGACCCTCAATGATACAGGGCGGCGCCGATTCAAAATGTGGATCTCGCAGCGGTGCCGCGCACAGTCGTCTCGTTGCGTTACAGCAGTTTCCAGGATCATTATGGTTGAAGTCCCTCGTCCTCCCTCCTACTCCTCCTCCTCCCTCCTCCCTCGTCCTCCCTCCTCCTCCTCCTCTTCCTCCTCCTCCTCCTGTCGAAATCCCACCAGCCCTTTAGGGCGTAGGTGGTCTAGGGAGTTTCCTCTGCCAACCCCCTTCTTCCCCTTCGGGGAGGGGTTTACCCCTCCCCTTACCCCTCCCCACTGACCTGGACGGGGCCGGTCGCGAGGTGTCAGAACGTCCAAGATGGCCCAAGACAGCTCCAAGAGCGAAAAGGCGAGAAAACAAAAAACATTGATTTTACCTAGGTTTTGGAAGGATTTTGGCCTCTTGGGGGGGGCCCAAGAGGCGACTCGAGGCACTCTAGAGGGGCAGCGCTAATTGGGGACCCCCCCTTCTTTGATAGATCTCCTCCAAGATGGCCCCAAGAGCGCCTCGAAGGCTCCCAAGAGCGCCCCAAGAGCGCCCCAAGAGGGCCCCAAGAGGCCCCAAGAGGCCCCCAAGAGGCCTCCAAGAGGCCCCCAAGAGACCCACAAGAGGCCACAAGAGGCTCCCCGAGATACGCAAGAGGCCCCCGGGACCGCCAAGAGGCCCCAAGGACGGCCCAAGAGGCCCCCAAGTTCGCAATTGTCCTCCTCCTCCTCCTCCTCCTCCTCTTTTTCTTCCTCCTCCCTCCTCCCCCTCTCCTCCTCCTCCTCCTCCTCCTCCTCCTCCTTCTCCTTTTCCTCCTTCTCGTCCTCCTCGTCCTCGCAGTCCTCCATCTCCTCCTCCTTCTATTCCTCCTCCTCCTCCTCCTGCTCCTCCTCCTGCTCCTCCTCTTCCTCCTCCTACTCCGACGACGACGGCTCCTCCTACATCCTCCCCCTCTTGGGGTATATGGCGGCTCACCCCGCCCTTTGTTCTTCTGCATGCTCCCCCGCTTCCCTCATAACCTCCACTCCCCTGTGACTCATTTCTGGACGGGCTGGTGGGGATACGCGAAGCGTCTAGAATTTAGGACTGTCAGGGCGCAACAGTCACGCTGAGTCGTGGCTTCGAACGCCCAGGGCTGGCGGGGCACGGCCCTGGGCTGTCAGGAAGCAGCAGTCTTGTTGAGTCGCGGCGTTGAGGTCCCAGGAATTGAGTTTCGGCACGGTTGAGAACTCTCAGACGGTCGTCTTTTCATGGGGCACTCCCCGCAATGAAGATACATGCTTGTAGGGACCCATGAGGGAACTTTGGGGGAGGGTTCGTGGCAACGTCGTGGATGCGTCTTGGGTCTTGGCTTTACACCAGTCCTCGTCCTCGACATCCTCGACATCCTCGTCCTCCTCCTCCTCCTCCTCCTCCTCCTCGTTCCTCTTTTTTGGGCCTCCTGCTCGCCTCGTTCCTCCTCCTCCTCCTCCTCCTCCTCCTCCTCCTCCTCCTCCTCCTCCTCCTCCTCCTTTTTGGGCTCCTCCTCCTCCTCCTCCTCCTCCTCCTCGTTCCTGCTCGCCGCCACGGACGGGCGCGGCTGGGAAGACGGTCCACGATGGACCCGGGAGGGGACCGTGGGAACGCCTCCGAGCGGACTGCGGTCCGCGGACGCCGCCCCCATACGCCGACGCCGCTCCTGCTTGAGGCCCATCCTGGGCCCAGCATCGGCGAAAACGACCTCGGAGGAGGAGGACGAGGAGGAGGAGGAGGAGGAGGAGGAGGACGAGGAGGAGGACGAGGAGGAGGAGGACGAGGAGGAGGACGAGGAGGAGGAGGAGGAGGAGGAGGAGGAAGAGGAGGACGAGGAGGAGGAGGAGGAGGAGGCGGAGGAGTAGTAGGAGGAGGAGGAGGGAGGGAGGGAGGGAGGGAGGCTCCAGGCCTGGGCAGCAGATGATACACGCCGGCCCCGCGCCCGGGGTTGGCCTGGCCAGGGGGCCAGGGTCGGCGCGGGTGACAGCACAGCGTCCCCCGACATGCACACCGGGAGGTCGGAGACCAGGTCCCCAACTCCGCGCTGCACGCCGCGCGAGAGCATGAGACGCGATCCTCTTCGCGTCCTCCTGCCGCCCCCCGCACGTTTTGGGCCCACGCGCGCACGGAAGCTGGAGAGGTCAACGTCCAAAACCGCTGGACGTCGTGGCTTCCTGCTGCGTGTTTGCTCGCGACCCCGGCCTGCGGACCCGGGGCCCATCAGAGGACGATCGGGGGCTCCAGAGCCCCACGGACTTAGATTGCTCGACGTGGAGGTGCCCATGTCTGCATCTCTCTGCTACTACGCTTCTCTTCATGATGATCCTCTGGATACTAGCGAGCCTGGGTGTGAGTGGCACTGACATCTGGATATGCGCGGCCAGATCGTGATGCCTGAGCAAGAGAGGCAAAATGCAGGAGACAGCAGACCGCAGGGAACGATAAACTGGAGACGGGAGACAGAAGGAGACAAGAGGAGGCACTGTCCCGAATTCCCTATCCCAGCGCCTCCCCCTGCGGGGTCCGCGGTGCTGAAGCCCTGGAGGTTCGCGGCGCTGCCCTCGTATCCAGAGCCGCGCTCCGCGAAACCACGCTTCGCTGGTCTCAGCCCGCCCTGGCAGGGCAAGGCAGAAGGAAGTGTCTAGAGGTCTTCAAAGAAGTCGCCAAAAGCCTCGGGAGATCCCCAGAGGCATCCAGCAGCATCCCAGGCTCAAAAGGGCAACACACGTCCGAAGAACTGATTCCTGCTCCTCCTCCTCCTCCTCCTCCTCCTTCTCCTTTTCCTCCTCATCATCATCATCCTCCCTGCTCCATGGTCCCTGCTCCCTCCTCTCTCCTCCCTCCTCCCGCCTCCCTCCCCCTCCTCCGCCTCCTCCTCGTCCTCCTCCTCCTCCTTCTCCCTCCTCCCTCCTCCCTCCTCCCTCCTCCCTCCTCCCTCCTCCCCTCTCCTCCCTCCTCCTCCTCCCTCCTCCCTCCTCCCCCACCCCTCTCCTCCCCTCCTCCTTCTCCTCCTCTCTCCTCCTCCTCCTCCTCCCCGCCTCCTCCTCCGCCTCCTCCTCCTCCTCCTCCTCCGCCTCCTCCTCCTCGTCCTCCTCCTCCTCCTCCTCCTCCTCCTCCTCCTCCTCCTCCTCCTCCCTCCTCCGCCTCCTCCGCCTCCTCATCCTCCTCCTCATCCTCCTCCTCCTCCTCCACCTCCTCCTCCCCATCCTCCTCCATTCCTTGTCCTTGTGGATAACTCCTCCCTGCCACGCCCCGAAGCCAATCGGAAGGGCGGGCCTGGCGTTCCGCCTGAGAATTCGTCACCATGTATGACCAAAAATCTTGTTACCTAATAGCATCAGTTTCACAAATGGAAGGCGCGTGGTTTTCACAATGTGGATCTCGCCTCAGCGCCGCGCACACTCGTGCTAACAATGTGCAGGCATGTCACGGGGTAAGGGCGGCTCGTTTTCGAAATGTGGCTCTCGCCTTAGCGCCGCGCGCATTCGTTTTAAACAGTTGTAGAGCTTCACGGGTTGAGGGCGGGTCGTTTTCAAAATGTGGCTCTCGCCTTAGCGCCGCGCGCATTCGTTTCGAAAAATTGCAAGAGTTTGACGGATGGACGGCGGGTTGTTGCTTAACTGTGGCTCTCGCCTTAGCGCCGCGCACATTCGTTTCGAACATTTGCAAGAGTTTCACGGCTTGACGGCGGGTCGTTCTCAAAATGTGGCTCTCGTCCTAGCGCCGCGCACAATCGTTCTAAACATGTGTAAGAGCTTCACGAGTTGAGGGTGGCTCCTTTTCAATATGCGACTGTGGCCTTGACGCCGCGCACGTTTGATCTACAGGGCGAGAGCGAACCTCTTCCGCTGAAAGCTAAGCGGGACGCGCACAGTTTTAATTAGCAAAGAAAACACGCCGCGCACATCCGTTTTAAAAATTTGCACGGGTTGAGGGCGGGTTGTTTTCAAAATGTTCTCGCACTAGCGCCGCGCACGTTTCTTTTAAACATGTGTCATGGTTTCACTGATTGAGGGCGGCTCCTTTTCAACATGCGGCTCTCGCCCTAGTGCCGCGCACATTCATTGATAGTTCTTGCAAGGGATTTACGGATTAAGGGCGGTTCCTTTTCAAAGTGTGGCATTTTGCGTTGGCGCCGCATACATTCGTTGTTTAACAGTTGTAAGGGTTTCACTGGTTCTCATGGTTCGCGTGTCAGAAATGGTGTTCTGGAGCAGTTCAGGATTGTCAGGGCGCAACAATTACGTTGATTCGCAGTGTTGACGTCTCAGAAGCGGCGTTCTGGCACGATTCAGGATCGCCAAGACGTGACAATCCGGTTAACTCGTGGCGTTGAAATCCTGGGAATGGTGTCTCACACGGTTTAAGATGTTCACACGGTTGTCTCCCAAAGGGGCAAGTCCCCCAGTGAGAATGACCCCTTGTAAGGACCTGCGAAGAGGGATCCTGGAAGGAGGGTGTACTTCAACATCGTTAACGAGTCTTGGGTTTACACTGGTCCTCCTTCTCCTCCTCCTGCTCCACCAATTACACAAGATGAATACTACTCTCCTCTCTCCCCTGGCGACGTCTGGACGATGTCTGGCCCCCCTCCGCGTACTATTTGTTTACACACAAGATTCCCGGGAAATGGGTTTCCGTTTTTGTTTCCAAGATGCGCTGGCCCCATCTCTGCGCCTTTGGTTGTTCCCCAATCGTGTACCCGCTACAGCGCGGGCGTTCCATGTCCTTCCAAATGTTCGACGAATATTTGTAAGGAAATAACTGTCACGAATAATTCGTGAAAATTGTCACGCATTTTTCGTGAAAACCTATAAAATGGCCCCCCGAATAAACCATCGGAAGTGATTCCATGTTCGGTGTCGATTCGTTGATTTCTGGGGCCGCAGTGGAGTCCCTCTGTGCTTTGAGAAGGCGATGTTGAAAGCAGAGCCAGCGGGTGCTCCCCATCAGCCCCGCCTCGTGTGGAGCTTTCGGGGAGCCCAAGGAGCTAGACATGGAGCCACGACTCCAGACCGGCCCAGACCTCTCGAAGACGATCCACTTACCCTCCAAGGAACCCGGCGCCATGCCATGACATGCTGTGCGGTGTTGTGTTCTGCGCCGCTGTGCGATGCCATGCGGGGCGTTGCAATGCTTTGTGATGTAATGCTTCACTGTGCAATGCCACGCCGTGCTATGGCATGCTACGCTCTGCCGTGCTCTTCTACGCCATGCCATGCCGTACTCTACCATGCATCGCGTACCCTCTCGCGATCGTTGCCCTGCTCGACATCCGACTGTGCGAATAGAGGGGATACTTACGCCATGGTAAGGGATGGGAGGGAGGGGTAGGACGTCAGATATGATGCGAGCTCACCTAGCTTGTCCTCCTCCCTCCTCGTCCCCCTCCATCCTCCCTTCTCCTCCTCCTCCTCCTACTCCTCCTCCTCCCCCTCCTCCTCCTCCTCCTCTCCTCCTCCTACTACCTTCCTCCTCTCTCCACCTCCTCCTCCCCCTCCTCCTCCTCCTCCTCCTCCTCCTCCTCCTCCTCCTCCTCCTCCTCCTCCTCCCTCCTCCTCCTCCCTCCTAACTCCTACTCCTCCTCCTCCTCCTCATCCTCCTCCTCCTCCTCCTCCTCCTCCTCCTCCTCCTCCTCCTCCTCCTCCTCCTCCTCCTCCTCCTCCTCCTCCTCCTATCCTTATTCCTATTAGAATATACTCCTACTCCCCCCTCAGGCCGGCAGATAGGGGCCGCATCCGGGTGGTCCCATCCTAACCTGTAAAAAACAATACAAAATCAACATTTTTCTTATTTTTTCCTCTCGACATGGACGTCCTGTCGTCCACGGCGATAATCCATTGCAAAAAATACCACAAAGAGCACACGCGGCGTTCATGTCAGAATCCTAGAACACCGTGTGTTTGTTCATGAATCCTACCGAACACCGTGTGTTTGCAAGCATTTCAACATAAAAACATCAAAAACCCAATGCTTTTTCACAAAAAAAAACTACACATTTCCTGCCCGGGCTCTCTTGCTGAAATCATAGGAAAACCATAGGAATCTTAAGAATTCGGTCAAATCCAGCGATTTCACGTCATCGCGCGGTGCACTCGCGATGCTCTGTCATGCACCCAGGCCGCGAATCCTGTGCAAAAAATACCACGCGGGCGACATGCGCGCGCGTCGCCGCGAGCGCATGCTCAAATCCTTCTAGAGTCGTCGCCGTCATTGGCACCGTCGCATGGACGTCCTGTCGTCCACGTCGCAAAATGCATGGCAGGAATACCGGGCCGTTCTCGACACGGCCACCTCTGGCTTCCTGCGGTGTACCGGGCCATTCTCGACTCGTCTGGCAATGCGTGCGCGGCATTCAACACGCGCTCGCCAGTTCCCGTCGGCAACCGCCATCGCGGCCGCATCAGCTGTACCAAACCGGCTGGCCGGTGTGACTTCGGCCCCCAGTTGTGCCAGCTTTGCTTCTTATGTTGTGGGAGGGCGGGTGGGACTGGGCATGCCATGCTTGACTCGCTCGAGCTGGCTAGCTTGACTCCTACTCCTACTCCTCCTCCTCCTCCTCCTCCCCCCCTCCCCCTCCCCCTCCCCCTCCCCCTCTTCCTCCTCCTCCTCCTCCTCCTCCTCCTCCTCCTCCTCCTCCTCCTCCTCCTCCACCTCCTCCTCCTCCTCCTCCTCCTCCTCCTCCTCCTCCTCCTCCTCCTCCTCCTCCTCCTCCTCCCCCCTCCTCCTCCTCCTCAGAGTTGACCACGATGACGGCGAATGCGAGAAGGGGAAAGAGGCAGAGGTCGAGGAGCCACAGTGGCGGCAGCGGCGTGGAGCAGGCTGGAGGAGGAGCAAAGCGGGAGCGGCCGCCAGGGTCAGGACAAGAAGAAGGAGGGCTAAGACCTCATATGTCGAGGATCGAAGAGAATCCAGGACTGAGGTTTTTGACGTTCCTGCATTTGGGAGGCCCCTGGATGCCTCTGGAGGCCTGCGGAGACCTGCAGAGACCTCCAGGGAGCTCCAGGGACCTCTGGATACATCCAGGGATCCAGACCTCCGACATTGTTTCTTGCCGAAAGCTGCCGTCATACCTCCATCTAGGATCTCGGCTTCTGGGACCGTCTCTTGGCTCCAAAGAAATCAGGAAGTTCGGGCGATCCCAGGGGTCTCAGGGCAGACTTGGACCGTCCTGGACGCTCCAGAAACCGAAAAGGCGAGCATGCAAAAGCCATTCATCTAAGGAGTCTCAAATTTGATCTGGTATGCTTTTCCGGCGCCCGTGGGAAGTCTTGGGCGGCTCCAGGGCCGCGTTGGGTCTATCCGGGGGACCTGCGGACATCTCGGAGAGCACCAGGGCCGTCGTGAAGGCCCTCTCGGAACTTCTGAGGGGGCACGTGGACCGTCTTGGAGCCTTGGGAGCCACCTTCGACGGGGGGAGTGTGATAAGCGTCCTTCTGTATTTTCAACGATGGCCTCCAAGATGTTCCCAAGAGCGACCCCATAGCCTCCAAGCGGGCCCCAGGAGAGCCCCAAGAAGGCCTCAAGAGATCCCCAGGAGTCTTCCAGGTAATTACCACAGGAAGCCTGAATACAAATCGACCACAGAATATCGGAACACCTGTATACAGCACAGAACGTCGGGACAATAACGTACCACAGGTTGAGGACCCAAGACCCAAAACGCTCAAGAAAACCCCTGAAAGGGCCAGTACAGTCCAGCATAGGCTTCCGAGAAGCTCCTAGATCGAAAGAGCCGCGAAGCGTTCATGATTGACTCCTGGGTCTGCGCAGGCTGGTCCAGAGATTCACTCTCACGGCTGCCCCCCTCTTTGCTCCACTGCTTGCTCCTGCTTCTACACTGCCCTGGTCAGGGAAACTCGCCTGGGCATCGTTTCTAGATGGGGTGTGGACCCCGATCTGCCACCGTGCCTCTGGGCACGGAGTGGGCGTGTCCTCGAGTCCTTCGCCTGATCCCTGGAGCCTCAGTCCTCAGCCCTGAAGAGTCGTTGAGGGACCCAGACCCCGCATTCCGAAATTTAGCGGGGCTTGGCGCGGCTTCCCCGGGCTGCCCCACGTCTCCCCGCGTAACTTTTTGGGGCCCGGGCCCCATGACGGACCAAAGAGGCCCCGAAGACGGTTCAAGAGGGCCCCGAGTCGCCGAACAATCGCTCCAGGACGGTCAAGATGGCCCCCAGGCAGCCCAGGAGGCCTCGAAGACGCCACAAGAGGCCTCCAAGAGGCCGCCCAAGAGTGCCCTAAGAGAGCCGCAAGAGGCAAAAAACAATTATTTGTTGTCAGGTGCTTGAAGGTTTTTGGCTGTCTCGCCTTTTCGGCTTCCCGACGCTCCAAGACGGCCCTGGAGGGCTCCAAGACGGCCCCAAAGCGGCCCAAGAGGGCCCCAAGACGGCCCAAGAGGCGCCCAAGACGACCCGCAAAGGGGGCCCAAGAGAGGGAACACGAACCGAAAATCCGAGCCTTCTGCCCCAAGAGGCCCCCAAGAGTCCCAGGAGGCCCGAAGAGGCGCCCCCAAGAGGCCCCCAAGAGAACCCCCAAGAGGCCCCCAAGAGACCCCAAGAGGCCCCCAGGAGGCCCCAAGACCCCAAGAAGCCACAAAACGGCCCCAAAGAAGCTTCAAACCCGCCTCCAGGAGGCCTCCGAGAAGCCTTCCACGAGATCCCAACGAACATCCAATAGGCTTCATACCCACAACCCAGGCAGGGTGGTGGGATGTGCCGAAGACCATTAAATACTTGTTTTTATTCAGCGGCCGCGGGCGAGCGCGCCGGCGGCGAGTCAGGTCAAAGCGGGCTACGCAGAGACTAATTAGGCAGAAAACGCGGAAACAAATAGAGCAGAGCAACGCGCGAGGCGACGGCTAAGCGCCGGCCGAGGCCTCAGGTGGGTGGCTTAGGGGACTGAGACTGAGGGGAACTGCCAGCGTGCAAAGCTGCAAGTCCGTCGGGTGCGCCATACGTCGGAAAGTCAACGACGGCCAGGGACAACTCCGAGAGAGAGAGAGAGAGAACCGAGAGAGAGAGAGAGAGAAAACGCGATGCCGTACCTCAGACGACTGCGTGGGCACCAGGGTGGCTGTGGCCAACGAACCGTCAACAACTTATTGACGAAGCGACGCGTCAACAACTTATTGACCATCACCGTGCCGCGAGACACTGAGTTGGATATCATCGGGCCCCCGCAAGGCCTCAGTGTTGAAGAACATTGCGAGTATAGCCATCGTGCTACAACACCACAAGGAACGCTGAGGAAGGAACGGAGGGGCTTTCCTGGCCGCAGCGAGCCTCAGCTTCGAACAGGTTCCCAGACCCGGACCCGAGGACCGGCCCGAAAACCGGAGCCCCGCCTGAGCCCAGTGGTCCTTGGTTCAGCGTCTTTGAAGGGGCCATGGGACACACAAATAAATACGCACAACAACAAAAAATCCACATATTTCCCCATTTTTCCAGGGTTTTTGTCTTCCCCCCCACTTCCCATATTTTCCCACATTTTCTGGGGAATCGACGATTGATTGTGTCTGTGTGTGTGTGTTTTTTGTTCCCTCCTGAGTCTTGACTGTACACTTCCCAGGGCCCCAGAGCTCCGACTCGCCCGAGATCCTGGGCGCTGCGGAGAACAACCCCGGGTGCTCCTGGGGCGCTCTGCACGGCTTGTCCCGAGGCCTCGGGAGAGAGGTGGGGAATCCAAAGTTCCAGCATGCCCCACGGCAGGCTCGTGCCGTACCGACTTGGGCGCTGGCCCCTGACACCGCGGGGCTCGTTCCACACTGAACGATCGACGGTTCCCGAAACGTCGGATCGTTCAACGTCGTTGACGGCGCGCGCAAGGGGGTTAGGGAGAGGGGGAAGGCTGCTTAGAAGGAGGCTGCTCCTTAGAAGGCGAGGGCCCTACATCTACATATAGACAAGGCCAACACCTGCTAAGAAGCAGGGGTGCCTCGAAGAAGCCTTCCCCACTCCCCCCATCCCACCATCTGCGCGTGGCCGACGGTCGTCGAGGACGCACCACCCCAGGTCAGCGAAAACCCGGGTGAGCCAGGGTCCTGTCGCGAGGTCAGGCCAGCCGCCTGGCATCGGCGGTGGACAAACCTCCCTTTCGTAAACCTCCCCTCAGTGAAAACGGCCTGGGACCGAAACCGACGGACCTGGACCGGCAAAAATGACGGCCGCGGCGCCCTCTCGCGAACCGAAAACGGCCAATTCGATAATCGACGTGTCAGGGTAGGAGATCTGTCCACCCCCGACACGGGTCAGCGGAGGGCGGACAGGAGGAGCTGGCCCCACGTGGCTCCCAAACCCGGGCCAGCCCGAAGGGATCGGCCCCGCGTGGCCCCCCCCTCGGCGCGTGGCTGTCCTCGGCCGATTCTGGGTCGCCGGCGGCATGCCACGTGGAGCGCCAGCGGCGGGCTCGCCGCGGAGGCCGACACGACGCGAGGCCGTGCCGTGAGATGGCCCGGGGGGGGCGTCCTGAAGGGGAGGGGGCCTCTCGTGGGCTGTCCTTGTTGGGGCGCTCGGGGTCCGGCCCTGCGCGGGGCATGCGTGGCGTCGGCGGTGGACAAGACTCCCTTTAGTAAACCTCCCCGCAGTGAAAACGGCCTGGGACCGAAACCGACGGCCCTGGACCCGCAAAAATGACGGCCGCGGCGCCCTCTCGCGAACCGAAGATGGCCAATGCCTTAATCGACGTGTCAGGGTGGGAGGTCTATCAACCTCCGACTCAGATGGAGGCGTTCATGAAAATTCTGCACGCATAAGCTCTGCTCGAGGCTTCTCCGCAGCTCTGTGTTGCAAGCATAAGCAGTCCAGCTCCCTCCAGGGGTGTCGAGTCGGCAGAAGGGGCCGAAAGAGTTCGGAATCTGGTGTTCTTGCGTGGCTTCAACATGCCCGCCGTTTCGGGCACAAGGGCGTCTGGGGCGGCTGTTTAAGGCTCCCAGCATCGCCCCAAGACGGGCCCCGAGCCGCCTGAGCAAGGCCCAAGGGACCCAAAGGAAGAGGTCCTCAGAAGCCCCGAAGAGGCCCTTAAAAGGCCTCCATCCCAAAGACCTGTCCCCACAAGAGACCGCAAGAAGCCTCCAAAGGCATCTGGTCCACGACCCAGCCGCGACAGGCAAAAAAAAATACACGTATGTGTGTGCTACTGTGCTGACACTGCAGTCCTTCCGTCAGCATCTCCTCACGCCCCGCAGTTGAGGTGACCCGTGCCTTCTTGCTCGAATTGTCGCCGATCGCGGTCATGTTGGTACGCCACAGGAACAAGTCCAGCGCGAACGCGTGCAGCCCAAGGCGGTTCGACAGCGGGCGCCAGCAAAAGGGCTCCTTGCGCGCTGGGGCATGCCTCCATGCTCTGGCTGGTTTCCAACTGAATGGTAACAAAAAAACTTAACTACCCAATCCTACGCCTGCGCTCATCATCCTCACAACACCAGATCTGTTACCACCACCACCACCACCATGATCATCACAACCAGCATCATCACCACCACCACCATCCATCTCCACCTCCTTGCCCTCCACGCGTCTCTCATCGTCTCCCCCACCCCTCTGGTCTTCTACGCCAGCGTGCCCCATGGCACTTCAGGCGCGGCATCACGCCAGGGCTGTCCAGCCGGGCTTGTGCAATCTTCGAGAGGCCCCCCCCCTCTCCTGCTGCTGACCACTTGCGTGCACCCCCCTCAGTTCCCAGGCCCTCAAAGGACCAGACGCCATCAGCGGCGGTCTCAAATGAGCCCATGGCCCCAAAAGCTGGTACCAAGGAAGATCCACGAAGGCATCGAAAGTCTCTAGAATGGCCCAAGATTCCCGCCCCAGAGGCTCCGCCATTCCACCACCCAATTGCATCATATCCCTTCTCTTGGAGCCCAATACGGTTCCAAGACAACGTGAAGACGCGGGGGGGTACCAGATCACTCCCAACACGCTGTGGGGATGCTTTCAAACAACATCCATTTAGGGACGATTCTGGGCCAAGCGTAGGCCCCAAAGCGGGGACCAAAACGGCCCCGATCACAGGCCAAAACCTGTACAATTCGGTCGGGGCTCGGGCCTAACCAAAGGACGTTCGTGAGCCGTTTAAAGGCCCTCCTGGGCCCCCTCTTGGGCCATTCGGAAACCATCACTGGCCCAGTTGGGGGGCTCTGCGGTCCTTCTACGCGCCTCTTGGGCTATTCTCGTCGCGTTAGAGCAGTTGCCGCATCATGATTGTTGTTAGATCTCCTGCTACGGGTAGAAAAAAAATCCATGCTGCCAGCCTGCCGATCACTGATCCGTTGGAACTGATGGCGGCCGACGAGCAGACGATGATCTAACCATCGATCAGGCATACGGCATGCCTAAGTCCAATCGGCAATGGAGAATGGAGAATAAGAAAGGGCACAAAAACACACCCGCAGGACCGTTTTTGACTGCTTCGGCATATACTCGCCATATCTTGGGACCATATTTGATATGGAATGGCGCGCGGCGCCAGCAAGCTTTTTCTCTCTCACGCGGTGAGACGAGGCGTAGCTCTCAGGCCAAGGGCCCTGAAACAGCTTGAGCAAAAATGACAGCAGGAAAGCGGGGCAAGAGCAGCACGTGCAGAGAGCAGGGAACTAGGCGGAAGATCGGCGGAAGGGCAATCGACACGCTATCGAATCGACCGAAACCACACTCCTCCTGTTTGGCGCCACAGGCAGCCGGGGCGACGAAACTGCAGTTCGGTCGCAACTTCATTACCTCGAATCGAATTGTCGAGAAAAGTCGGCATCGGAAAGAGTGCCGGACACGGCACTTCTCACACGAAAGGGGCAAGCAAACGACCTGACACGGCTTGCACCAGGGAGCCTCGGGACATTACTGGGTGAGCTGCACAAGCCTGAAAGAAAAACGAATTCTCATCCCAGCGCGGCGGGCGCTTGGCAAGTTCGCTTACTACTACGTAATACATGCATCGGTGTGGTCGACACCAGGTGAAAGGAACTGTACACACCGAAATATGAAACTTCTTGCGACCATGCAGATTTGTGAAGAAATCTGGGAAGCTCCCCCCAAAAAATGCGGACTTACGCAGGAAAGGGGTCGTCTTGGGCTGTTCTTGGAGCCTCGTCGAAGTCTTTTTGAGGCCTCTCAGAGTTCGGGGGGGTGTTGGGGGCCTCTGGGTGTTCCTGGAGGCCTCTCCGAGGTCTCTGGGAGTCTCCTGCTCCCGCTCTTGGGCCCATGTTGGGCCTGCTCTGGGGTGGTCTGGGGCTGTCCTAGGCGCCTCCTCTTCGGCAGTCTTGGAGCCTTTTTCTTATGTTTTTGCCGCACGTTCTGGCAACCAGGGAGCAAGTCAGTTACCAGACGGCAAAGCAGTCGAAGCGCCAAATGCGCGCCTAACGCGAGCCGCGCCAAACGCGAGCTGAGCATGCAAAATTCTCACCCGTTCTGTGGTGTTGTGTCATCATGTTGAAGAAACATCGCCCCGCGTGACTCATTCCTCCTCCTTCCTCCTCCTCCTCCTCCTCCTCCTCTTCCTCTCCTTCCATCGTCCGTCGTCCGTCCGCCCGCCATGTTGTTTCTCTATGATAGCTCTGCCGCGTGCATCTTCTCTCGTTTGCCCTGAGCTGAAAATGCCGGGGATGCAACGGCTTGCGCTGTACATGAACTGCTACCTTGGGCTGCAGCTCGCTGGATACTGCTGGGTGAAAAGCGCTGCTACCCTGGGCTGCAGCGCCATGCAATTAGATACCCCAGCATTACTTATCCCACACGGCATTTGAACAAGAGATGGACATGCTTGGTTCGCGCGTGAATTTCTGTCCTGAGTCCTGAGTGGATGAACATCTATTTTGGGAGGTTCTTCGGGCTTCTGGGAGCCCCTCGAGAGCTTAATGGAGGTCCCGCTCATTTTGAATGGTATTTTCTATGCAGAACGCAAATCGGCCTGCATTTCTGAAGGAGAGAGCATGGTTGGAATTTGGCCATTCTGTGCTCATCTCGTCAAACGAGGCTGGCCTCTGCAACCGAAAACAAAGGTCCACTACCCTCCGCGATTTGAAGCAAGGAAACGCGGTGTGTACATGCCTTCGATGGCGCCGCTGCCTCACCGTGATCATCTTCTCCTAGCAGTCCTCCGACAGCACACCCAACGTGCCCAAGGTGCCTGACATAGAAATTCAAATACTGGAGGCCGCTCAGAGCGCGCCCATGGGCAACCTTCAGTTCCACTCTGCGAAACTTCATCCACTTCGCATGTTCGTCGCGTACACCCTCAGCATGGAAATGAAGATCGCCTCCTCCCTTCGCCTTCACCCACTCACCAGTGATATTCAATTCTTGGAAATCCAAATCGGCGCAAAACCCACCCAATTGGCGCGCATCGGCCTGCACACGAAGCAATACGTGTTCTTTTCCCGCCGCGAGGGATGTTCACCAGAACGTGCTTGCCAGGTTTCATGAGATCGAACCGCTGACCAAGAACATTTGTCATGTGGGGATCGCCAGTGGCAGACGCGCCGCCAGCTCCACCCACCGGGCGGGGCGTCGGGCTGGGCGTCGGGCTTGGCGTCGGGCTGGACGTCGGGCATGGCGTCGGGCACGGCGTCTGAGCCAGCCACGCGAACCCGCCGACAAACCCAGCGGTTGCCTTATACAAGGACACGGTCGACCCACCTGTTACTGGCATCGAATATGTAGTCATGGTATAGCCACTATTTATAAATGTCAGACTGCCACTTGCGTAGCCCGAGTACGTCGACCGGAACCCGCCATCACGGCCACTGTTCTCGCTCCAGAAGTACAGCGCGCCAGACTGCGAAGCGGCAATCGTGAAGCTGCCAGACGAAGAGATCCCATGGGGGCCCTTCCAAAACGGAGTTCCCAACGGGATGCCGCTGGAACTGACTGAGTAATACCAGTAATCCCGGTCCGTCCAGGCCACCACCCCTTCCGTCAGAGTGCTCGTGGCCCAGGACACTCCAGGGAAAGATATGCATGCGCCCATCTCTTGAGTGTTTATGCTCATTGCCTGGCGGCGCTCGCGAAGCCATGAGGGGTTTTCTTTTCGGGCAGACCTCCGTCGAACAGGCTCATCCTCCGAGATCTGGATGGCGAGTGAGCTCTGCAGTGCTAGGCCAACAACGCAGGCGCACGCGAGTTTGGCCATTGTGTCCAGAAGACCCGAAGCCAAGTACAAAGATATCTGCAAGTACTCGTAGATCTTACGCTTGAGCCAAAATGGCCACGGGCAGTCTTGGAGCCTTCTTGGCCCGTCTTGTGGCCGTCCAGAGGATCTTTTGGGTGGTTTTGGCGCGGTCTTGGGAGCCTCTTCGGCGCTCTTGGACCGTTGGAAGCTCGAAAACGCGAGAAGCCAAACAAATGTAGAAAAAAACAATGAAAATCTACGATGTTGGCCTCTTCGGGCCGTCCCAGGACGCCTCTCGGACCTCTCTTGGGGTCTCTTGGAGGCCACCTGGGAGCCTCGAGAGCCGTCGAAAGGCTGACTTGGGCTGCTTGAGAGCGTCTTGGGCCATCCTTTCGCATTCTGGGGGCTCCCGGAGCGCTGCGGAGGCCCCCCGGAAAGGCTGGGGGAGCGGTACCGGGAGCAGCCCCGAGATGTCACGGGGAGGTGCGGGGCCCGGGGCCGGGGGGGGGCGGTATCTATTCTTATGATTATTATTATTATTATTATGATTGGTATTATTAATACTATTATTATCGTAATTATATTATTATTGTTACTACTAATATAATAATAATATAATTATTACTCTTGATATTAGTATTACTAGTATTACTATTAATAATAATAGTATTAGTAATATTCTTAATATTAGTATTAGTATTAGTATTATATATACATGCATACATACATATACATATGTGTACACATACATACATGCAAACAAACAAACACACATGCACACAAAAATGAAGACATACATGCATATATACAAACATACATACATATACATACGAATATACATATACATAGACATATACGTGTACATACACACATACATAGACATATGCATATACATATACATACACATATACATATACATATGCATATACATATACATATACATATACATATACATATAGCCATATATATATCTATATATATATACACATATGTATAACAAATATACATATACATATACATATACATATACATATACATATACATATACATATACATGTACATATACATATGCCTATACAAATACATATGCATACACATATACATATACATAGCACATACACATATACATGTGAATATACATATACATGTACATAAACATATATATAAAAATGCAAATACATAAACATATAAGACAACATATAACAATGAATGCAAACATACATATACATATACGTATGCATATACATGTACATATACATATACATATACATGTACGTATATATGTACAAATACAGATACATATACATATACATATACAAATACAGATAAATATTGTAGAGATGACGATCTCACTCGATAGATCATCTTCGAGCCATAACAGCTTCGGCGGGGACACCCCGCTCCACTCAGTCCAGGCCTGCAAGGGCCTTGCACAGGGGACCACTTAGAGCCCAAATCATGCACTAGGGCCTCTATGGGCCTACCGCTCACGCCAGGGCCTCCTTGGGCTCTGGCCGACTATCTGGCCGCCTCGGGAGGGGCCGTACACTCACTGACGCCTGCACGCCCCCACGGCGCCTCGTCGAGGCACGTCACCTCGCTCACCTTGCCATTGGCCGCAAGCTCGTTCTCACCCGTGGCTCGCCTCGGGCAGCACAATGAACCTCGGCGTCGCGTGCTTCCACTTGTACGTGCATGGCGATTGACTCGCCTTCTCCTCCGTCGTCGGCCTGTCCGTGAACTTCACCTTGTTGCTCAGCTCCTTTCTCCGCTTCGGGGTATTAGTATGCTTTACCAGGTTTTGCTTCGTGGTACTGTCCATCTTCGTCCACCACTTGCAAATCAAACACCCGAGCAGTGCTCCTGCCACGAACGTTGTCGTCATCACGATCAGGATGATCAGCGTCGTGTGGTCGTCGATCCAGTCCTGCAGCTTTGTAGCCTCCCAGGGGGTAACTGCACCCTGGTCGAGATCTCGCACTGCGCATTCACTCGCCTTGGTCGCGCCGCCCGTCACTCCTCGCGCGAGCAGCGTCGCCACCAAACCTTGCTTAGCCCAGGCGCTCGTTGCCACCGAGCACGCCTCCAGCTCCTTATGCTTGTCCATCTCGCTGCAGCCCATGATGCCAGCAAGTTCTCGCAGGGACTCGAACCGCTCCGTGGTGTGCGCCTTGGTCCCTAGGTCGGCCACGTTCTTTGTTCCACTCTCCTTCTTGGTGATCAGTCCGTGGACCTTTCGCTCCTGCTGGATCCACAGCGCCCGAACGTCCAGGTGCTTCACCTTTCCGACGCCCTCGCGGTTGATCATCGCCTTCGCGGCGCTGCTGTCGATCCCGAGCTCCCAGGTCACCTTGTCGCCCAACCACTCTAGCATGTTCTTCACCAGCTGGCCGTCCATCACCACCGAGGTCGCGCCGTAGAACTCCGCCTCACCTGAGGATGTGCTCTGAACTCCTTGCCTCCTTGCGAACGCTGCAAAATGCACTCCGTCCAGCATTGTGATCCCACAGGTCATCGCACGCCTCGTACCCTTGCACGTCGCGAAATCCGCGTCTGCGAACAACTGCAGCTTCACTTCCCCAGGCTTGCTCCCAGTTGGCTTTTCCATCAGCACTCCAAACGTCTTTGTCCCCTTCAGGTACCTCACCAGCTTCACCAATCGCTTCCTGTCAAACTCCGTCGGCTGACTCAGGTTCCTGGTCAGCAGCTGCACGCCCCGCTGGATGTCCGCTCTGTCGGGCGAGATGTAGAGCGCGACCCCGACTCCTGTGCGAAATTTCGCCCTCTCGATCTCGTCCAATTGAGGACTCCATGTCGGGCCCTCCTCAATCAAGCTTGGTACCCTCGTCGGCTTGGCATGCCCATTACGTAGATCAGGTCGTCGATGTGCTTCGCGTTCGGCCTCAGCATGATGTTGCCGTTCATGAGCCTCAACCTGCCCCGCTTCAGGTGCGAGTAGCGCCCCTGCCTGATGACATCCGTCGCTCTCAGGTCGAACACCTCCCGCAGCCGCTTGATGATCCCCTCCAGGCTGCCGATTGGACCCTCCCCGTGGAAGTCGCCCACGTGCACCTCGATCAGGATCTTCTTCTCTCTGCGGTAGAAGAACTGCGGCTGACACTCACTCCTGTCGAAGCCCTCTCCCTTCAGGGTCTTCGCCGCCTTGTCCACCCAGCCAGCGCCTGCCACGCGCTGCCCAGGCAGCATCTTGTTGAGCGCCCAAACGATGTCGGTCGGTCTGCCCATCTCCGCCAATATCGCCAGATACTCAGCAGGTGGCTCTACACAAACCTTCTCAGTCTGGTCCGCTTGGTAGTACGCCTTCACGCAATCCGCGATGAAGGTCCCGTGGTTCTCCTCTTTGATTCTGACGAAGTCCACCAGCCTGCTCGTCTGCGCCGATGAGCTCGCTGCGAACACGTCGTCACGCTGCTCCATCCACTTGAACTCCTGCGCCACATACCGCCACTTGCAGATACCTCCTCGCATCTGCGGCCCCCAGCGCGCCCTGATCCTCTTGAACTCACCGCCCTCGCTCCTCGGGACGTCCCCGTGCACCCCGTAGTGTGCCAGCACTTCTAGTGCCTCGCGCTTGCCGATGAGCTCCGCCGCTGGCTCCGGTCCGCTGACCGTCATGTAGCAGTCGGTGCCCATCCTGTCCAGGATGCCGTAGTCGATAGGGTCGTCGAGCGAGATGGCGCCCACGTGCTTCGCGCGTTTGCCTGGTGCGCCGAAGTCTTCGGCGTCGGCAGGTCTGACAAGACCTCGAGGTGTCATCGGCGCATCCGCATCCGTCGTGCTCTTCTCCTCTGGCCTCGCTGCCGCTGCCGCTCCAGCTCCAGGTCCCGCGGGCGCCGCCGATGGCCCCGCGCTCGCTGCTGCAGCCGGCTGCGCCCCCTGCTCGGGCGCCCCCTGGGGTGGCGCCGCCTCGCGCGCTGCCTCCTGCGCCTCGGTCTTCGCCTTCCGCTCCGCCGCCGCCAAGACGATCGTGGGCATCGGCCTCTGAAGCCTGGGCAGTAGCTCGCACGGCTTGGCGCTCATCGCGTCCCAGGGCAGGGCCTTCACTGCCTTCATCAGCTTGTCATCTGCCCGCAATGCTGGCTCCAGCCGCCTGCATGTTCTTGCGCGGTGCCAGCCCGCTGGCGTCAACAACAAGTGGTCGTCGCTCTCCCTGCGCTTCCCGATCCAGATGCCCTTCACGAAACTCGACTCGCCCTTGCGCTTCAGGGACGTAGCCGCGATCTGCCTCGTGTGGGAGATCGGGGTCTTGAAGAGAGCCGTCTCTCCAAAGGGGGGAATCTCTCCGTTGTAGGTCACTCCGCATGCTGCCTGATGGGACGTCCTCCCATCGGCTCGCGGTCGGCACGTAGACGTAGCCCAGCTAACGTACCGTGTAAGCCAACACCAGATCGGTGCATCCGCTGTGATCTTCATGGCATAGCGCTTCTCCAGGTCGAACTTGTATGTCCTCACCTTCGCCTGAAACCATCTGATCGGAGCCTCAATCGCGCCCATGCTCTGGCTGTCCTTCAGGTTCCCACGCTTCTCTTCTAGCTTGATGCTCTTGCTCAGCCTCTTCCGCGCCTCCTCCACCAGGTTCACGATCGTGGGCTCGCCGTCCGTCTTGATGTCCGCCGTCGCGAGATGCACGCCCTCAATGAAGCTGCTCACGCTGGCTATTGCGTAGTCCGTGACCGCCTTGGTGGGCATCGAGAATGCATTGAACATCAGCGTGTCCCTGTCCGCCATCACGAGCGTCGTCGCGAAGATGTCCGCCGCTGGCGGCTCCTCATCTCCGATCTCCGCCCAGTCGCCGCTGGTCTTCAGGTAGCAGAAGTCCAGGGTGATCTGCGCCTTCCCAGTGTCCTTCTGGTCGAACGTGAGGGTCTTGCGCGGCTTGGTCGTCTCGTTCCCCCGCACGCAGGCCTCGCACCACGGCGCCCTCGTGAGGTGCAGCAGTTCATGAGCTGCTCGTTCTGCATCCGTGGGCGCTGCTGGCCCTGCTACTTCTCGTGGTGCTATCGTGGGTCCTCCTTGAACGGGCTCCTCGTGCCTGCGCTCCAACTCCTTCATCTCCAGGTGGTGCGCCGTGAGCCTCCGCTCCGCATCGCTGAGTCTGGCCCACAACTCGTCCTTTCTGCCGTAGATTGGCTGGCCCGTCTCCTTGAGCCTTGCCCGCATGTCCTCCACGCGGCTGGAAGGGTGCAGGACGATCTCCTGCCCTTCGCGTAGCACCACTGGATGTCGAGCCAGTCGCTCTCTTCCCGCGCTCTCAGCTGCCCCACCTCGCTCTGGAGCCGAGGCGGCAGCCGCAGGTGCAGTCGGCGCCGCTCTCGCTGCTCCGCTGCCCGCAGCCCCAGGCGTCGGCGCGAACGCCTCCTCCTGCTGCTCATTCGCGTTCACGCTGGCCGCGAACTCCTTCGCCTCCGTAGCTGTCTTGAAGGTCTTCGCGTTGAATCCCAGCGTGTCGTTCTTCCTGGTGAGCGGGATGCCCTGAGGTCGCCGCCAGGGTACATGCACATGCCCGTCTTCGCGCTCAGCCAGAACTCGGCACCCTTATCCATCACCTCCAGCAGCGAGAGGATTGGCTTCGATACCGTGTCACCTAGCCTGAAGTCTGCTTTCAGCAACTTCAGCTGCTCGCACTCGTCAGTAACCGCCATCGGCACCGTCGCGATGGAGTCCACCTTGATCTCGCTGCGCTGCGCGCCCAGCAGCCTCGGGCCGTGATCATCTCCTTTCCTGCATCCTTCGCCGAAGAAAGTCGGCCCCACGTGGCAGTCACTCGCAGTGTCCAACGTGATGAAGGTCGTCTCCACGAGCTCCATGCCGCAGCACTCCGTCTCGGGATCCTCCACCTCCATCGCCATACAGTAGAGCTGGTCGTCGTCGCAGATCCCGCACTCGCACTCCGCGTACTCGATCTTGGCCACCGTCTTCGGGTCCGTGCTCTCCTGCTCAATGGCCGCGTTGCCTTTGGACCTCTCATCGGCGATTCGCTTCTTGCAGTCCGCCTTCTTGTGGCCCGTCTTATGGCAATAGTCGCACTTCCCCGAGAAGGTGCAGCCGTCCTTGCCTTTGCCTTTGGCGTCCTTTCCGCCCTGGGTTCCCGCGGCTGCTCCTCGACCTTTTCCGTCGCCCTTCTGCTTCCCTTTGTCACGCCAGAAACAGTCGCGGGACGTGTGGCTCGGCTTGTGGCAGATCTGGCACTTGTCCGTTCCGTCCTTGCCTTTGCCCTTGGAGATCGCGTCGACGCCCATGTCGTTTCTCCCCTTATTTGCTGTCGGAGGTCGCGAGACCACCCCACTTTGGCCGATCACCGCCTCGAAGATGCAGTTCCTCATCTGTGCGATGTCGCTGCGTACCTCGCGCTGCGCCGAGCGCAGCATGACCTTCACTTCCTCTGGTGCGTGGGCCATGATCGTGCTCGTCTTCATATTCTGCGTGACCTGCTCTCCGGTCGCGCGCTCGTACCTTGAGATCAACTCGTCCCAAGCGATCAGCACCTCCGTGAACCGCTCCTTCCCCTCGCGATCCTTCCACCATGTCGGCGTGAGGATATGCTGGAGCATCTGGCCGTGCTCCTCATTCAGCCTTGGCATGTACTCCTTGTACAGCCTCCGCATTGCCTCGAAGCCGTCGCCTCGCGGGCAGAGCTTGACGATGCTCTGCGCCGCGCCTTTCGCGGTGCTCGCCAGCAGGTGGTACAAACTCCTGCCTGCCAGCACTCCCTGCTCGCCGAAGTCGTCCGCGGTCAGCGGCTCCTCAGCGCCCCTTGATCGCTCCAGGCCCGCCGTCCAGCCCAGCAGGCCACAGTATGACTCGAACGGGAAGATCCAATCCTCGAAGTGCTCCCTCTTGCCTGAGAATGTCGGCACCTTGCCGATCCCACGAGAATCCAGCAACTGCACCCCAGCTGCTCCGCTGTCGGCCGCCATGGCGCGCTGGCGCCACTGGCCTGAAGGGTGGGTTCAGGCAACCTCACAATCTGTCACCATGCAGAGATGACGATGTCACTCGATAGATCATCTTCGAGCCATAACAGCTTCGGCGGGGACACCCCGCTCCACTCAGTCCAGGCCTGCACGGGCCTTGCACAGGGGACCACTTAGGGCCCAAATCATGCACTAGGGCCTCTATGGGCCTAACGCTCACGCCAGGGCCTCCTTGGGTTCTGGCCTACTATCTGGCCGCCTCGGGAGGGGCCGTACACTCACTGACGCCTGCAAATATACATATGCCTGTACATATACATATACATACATACATACATAGACATAGACATAGACATAGACATAAACATATACACATACATATAGATTTGCATATACATATACATGTACATATACCTTTACATATACATATACATATACATATACAAATACAAACACATATACATAAAAATATATAAATATATATGTATACATACAGCTACGTATGCGTATACATATCCAGATAAAATAACCTACACATAGATATACGAATACATTTACATATACAAATACATATACATATACATAAACATATAACTATACATATACATATACCTATACACTTGCATATACATATACACCCATACACATATATATACACATAAAAATATGTATATACATATACATGTACATATACGTACATACCCACATGCATACATACATACATACATACATGTTCATACATATATAGATATCAGCCAACGTTTACTCCAAATAGATAGGAGAACCGGAGCAGGACGGGAGGATGGGAGGAGGACGAATGGAAGACGGGAGCAGGACGGGAGGAAGACGGGAGGAGCAAAATCAAGATAGCGCAAGCAAGCAAGCGGAAGCAAGCAAGCGCAAGCGAGGAATACTAAGCAAGGAAAAGCCAGCGATCAAGTGCAATCAAGCAAGGGCAAGCAAGAGCAAGCAAGAGCAAGCAAGCGAGAGCAAGCCACAAGAGCAAACAAGCAAGAGCACGCAAGAGCAAGCAAGGGCAAGCGACCCGTAGAAATCCATAGGAACCCATAGGACTCGACATTGGAACTAGCTGGGGGGGCCAGTGGAAATAAGGGAGGGGCCATTGGAGTTAGGTGGGAGACACGAGCATAGGCATAGGCATAGGAATTGGGGGGGGGCATAGGAATTAGGGGCAACGGGCCAATTAGTATGGTTTGAATTAAAACTCCTATAGGGCAAGCTTATTTGGATGATATATATATATATATATATATATTATATATATATATATGTATACACATATATATATGCACGTGACCATATAGAGCACAACATAAATTACACCATAAACATATATATATATATATCACCACATCCATTGCACAATATACATTGCACCATATAGATTGCACACATTGCACCACATGAGGTGCATCACATGATCTACCCCACATAGAGTGCACAGCATGTACTGCATCGCACCGATTGCACCACGTATATTGCAAAAAGTAGATTGCAAAACATAGATTGTAAAACCTGTGTTGCACAACATCGATTGCTAGAAACACAATGGTTGAGGTCAACGATGGCTAGCATGGAATATGCCCCGAGCTTCCAAAACAGCCCACGCAGGCAACCAAGGACTTCAAGATGGCCCAAGATGCCTCGGAGACGACCCAAGATGGCCCCACAGCGGCCGAAGATGGCTTCAAGACGGCCCAAAGATGCATCCAAGAGGGCCCAAAGGAGCCCCAAGAGTACCTCTAACAGGGTCCGAAAAGGACAAATTCGCTGACGTCAGTTAGGTGTTTGAATGGTGTTCGAAGTCCCGCATGTTCGGTATTCCATCAGAGCAAGACGGCCCCAAAAGCCCCCACGATGGCCCCATGAAGACCCCAAGGGCCCCCGAGAGGGCCGCAAAATGGCCCAGCAGGAGTTCAAAAGACGGCCCCAAGACGGCCCAAGCGCCCCCCCCCCCCCCCCCGTGGGAACCAAGACGGTCTTAGAAGGCCCTCCGCAACCCAAAACGGCGCCATGGCGACCGCACGACGGCCCCCAGGCACCCACCATACGGCCAACAGGGCCCCGAGGGACCCCCAAGACTGCCTCACAGGAAGGAACGACAGCCCCAAGACGGCTCAAACGAGTTCCATAAAAGCTCCCCAAACACTCAAGACGGAAAGTGTCACGTGTCATGGCCTTATTCTTTCTCCTCATCATCATCCTCCTGTTCCTTCCCTCCTCCTCCTCCTCCTGGTCCTGCTCCTGCTCCTGTTCATGTTCCTGCTCCTTCTCATGTTCCTCATCATCACCACCACCACCACCATCATCACCACCATCACCACCACCACGTTCAACATCATCATCATCATCATCATCATCATCATCATCATCATCATCATCATCATCATCATCGCCATCATCATCATCATCAGCAGCAGCATTAGCATCACCATCATCAGCACAGTCATCATCATCATCGTCGTCGTCGTCATCATCGTCATCATCACCCATCATCATCAGCATCATCACCATCGTCATCAGCATCAGCCATCATCAAAGGCATCGTCGCAATCAGCATCAGCATCGTCATCAGTAGCAGCAGCATCGGCGTCATCATCATCAGCAGATTCATCATCATCATCAGCAGCATCATCATCAGCAGTATCATCAGCATCATAATCATAAGCATCAGCACCATCATCATCAGCAGCAGTGGCATCACCAGCAGCATTAGTATCATCATCCGCATCATAATCATGATATCCCCCCAATTGGCCAGGCAACGTTTTCAGACGCATAGCGGGGCTACGCGGCAAGTTACAAGGTTGATGGCACGAGCAGACGGACAGCCGCCGTGGGCGGCCGCAAACGCTTACAGTTTGGCACGGCGAGGCCTGGAGATCCCCCCCCAAAAAAAAAAGAGAGAGAGAGAGAGAGAGAGAGAGAGAGAGAGAGAGAGAGAGAGAGAGAGAGAGGGGAGGCAGGACGGGGTTCGGGATGGCGCAGCAAAAAACCTCGAGGATTGGCAAACGGCCGCGGGGCGGCACGATCAATGCTGCGCACCGCACTCTCATGACCCCCCCCCCTCCCTTGGCCAGACAACGTTTTCAGACGCATAGCGGGGCTACGCGGCAAGTTACAAGGTTGATGGCACGAGCAGACGGACAGCCGCCGTGGGCGGCTGCAAACGCTTACAGCTTGGTCTGGCGAGGCCCGGAGATCCCCCTTATCCACGGAGTGGACTGCTTAAAAGGCGTTTATAACTTACTTCAGCTAGCACCTTTGTCAGTTCTGTAGAATAAGCTTCAGCACGTAACGCACGCCAATTTCCAGAGCTATATTTACCCTCCAAGACGGCGGCCAGCAGAGGAAAGGTCGAGCCCGTGGGACATTAACGCAGTACTCTTTTTTTCAAGGCTTCTCCGTACTGGCAGAAATCAAGGCGCACAACCGCGGGAGATAAAACCTCGGCCTCAAACGAACCTAGCTCGGCGAGCTGTTCATAGCCGGGGCCTTCCAGACACGACTCGCGCGAGGGTTCTCGATAGCCCAGGGGTTCCCAGCTCTGGACGCGGCCCGGCAACAACGAACAACAAACCACATCACCTGGTTCCCCCCCTTGACTTTTGTGGCGTCTTTTTCCCCGCGCCCACGGAGGCCCGTGATCTACTTCTGCTCGCCCCGAAGATACCCTGGACCAGTGCCCCCCCATCTCCTAGCTCTGCTCCAAGTATCACAGGGCAACCCGAATCAGAGACAGCCAACCCTCCTGCTTCTAATGAGGGCGATCACGCGCTGCTGGTTCTTCTTGACCAGCAGGTCGACATTATTCAGAATGCCCAAGCCCTCTGGTCGGATCCCGCGGCCCCTCAACGACGCAGTCAAACGGCCTGATCCCGAGAACACTTCGAGGCAACCACGGCGACCCACAAAGCCCCAGCGAGCTCCACCAGGGCGCGGACCCGGGGACCTGCACCGCGCACGCTTCACCTCACTGCCGCCCTTGGCGGCTGGAGAGGGGCCCTGCGCCCCATCAGCACGTCGTCGAGAACCGCCGCGCACTTTTTCACATGGTCGAGAACGTGGGGGACGAGCATCGCGAGCATGTTTTGAACCTTTCCTATCTTAGTATAGCGACGAACGGAGCTCTCCGTCTGCCACCTGCCGCGGGCCATCACCGCGGCCCTGTCTCTGCGCTTTCCGACGAGGTCGTGGGCGGCACCTCCGCGCCGGCACTGGCACAGCGACAGGCGGTCGCGAAGTCCGAGGCCGAGAGCAGCTTTGCTCATCAGATCGTTTGCCTCTTTCAGCTGGAAATCGAACAGAAAGGCGCCCATGGCCTTGCCCCGAGCTCGCCTGTGCAGCGCCGCCCCGAGGTTGGGCAAGTACCCCTGGTCGAGGATCAGACTGTTGTCGTACACCCCGACCATGTTGAGCACCTTCTCGTCGCATCCCCCGATGATCACCGTGCAATGCCGAAACCGTGCCCCACCCCCGAAACGGGAGGAGCCACATCCTTCGCGCGGACGCTCAGCCCCTCCGACGGCCTCAGGTAGCACGCGAAGCACACCGCCAGGTACAAAGCCATGTCCTGCCCCCCCTGCTGCGCCAAGTCCATCGCCAGCGCGGCCAGGATGACCCACGGCAGCGGCAGCAGGCTGGTGGCAGGCGCGACCTTCCCCCAACCCTTCTGATGCCTCTGGCCCCGCGCCAGCGACCAGATCTGACTGCCCCTCGCGCGCGCCTCCGCGAACTGCACGGCCGCGATGGTCTTCTCCGCGAGCGAGGGGCCGCACACTTCCAGGAACTTCACGTCGAAGTAGTCCACGAGCAGCAAATCGGTCTGCGCCGAGATGGCCGCGGGCAACCCGTTCTCCGCGCAGAAGTCCCTGAACTCCCCCAGGTAAAACTCGTAAGCCTGTTTCATCCTGGCCGAGGCGCTGCGCTCCTCCAGGCGAGACTTCGTGCCCCGCCGCGCCAACAGCTCCCCCTTCGGGTCGAGCGCCTCCTCGGCCTCTCTCGCGCGCGACGTCAAGTCGAGAGCCGCCCGCGCGCCCAAGGGGGGCAAAGGCGGACGATCCTCCGGCGAGTCCGCCAACGCCGTCAGCAGCCAATTCTCCTTGGGAGATGTCCGGCGGTCGAGCTCCTTCTCGCCAGCGCTCCAGCCCCGGAGGCTCCGGGGGCCAAGCGGCGCCGCCGCTGGCGCGCGAGCGGTGGCTCCCCCCGCCACCGTCTTGCCGACGAGCTGCCTCTCCCCGTACCCCCTCGACGGCAGCGCGGGCCCGGCGGCGAGCGTCCGCCCGCTCCTCACGGCGCGAGGGTTCGTCTGCAACATTGAACTCGCTGGGCGCCCACCGCGGCCGGAGGCGGCTGTTGGTGGCGAGCAAAAGGGCGCCCGCCTGCTGACACACCCTGAGCAACTCGCACGAACAAGCTCGACCCTTCGACAATGCGAAACATAAACCCATGTTGTCGACGAGTAAGAAATGCCGCTCCCCAAAATTCCGGCGAGCCCAAGAGAGGCGCCCAAGCGCCAGAATAGCCGCCCTACCCTCCTTGATCGCAAAATGTTCGCCCAGGAACTTCCAGGCACCATACAACGCCACATCCCAACTCTCCTGTCTCATGAGTCCTAGAGGCACCTCGGGGAAATCGGGGTCCTCGGAGTACCTGAACGAGCCCCAATCGCCAGCATCGCCCCGCAGACCTTCCTTCGAGACCCCGGGGGCCCACACGCCCCCAGCAGTTGCGAGGCCCTCCTGGGGCCCAGACCTAGCGAGCGAGACCTGGGGGCCCATTGTTCGGGAGCAAGTCGCTTGAAACGCCACCTCTCATTCCACCCCCCAATCCCCCGAACATCCTCAACGTCAAGATCACGCTGGCAAACTCCGCACCCCGTCGGCGAGGCATCCGTGCACGCGACTGTGGGATTCCACTCCTGACGAAGGTCCGCAACGGCGAGTGGCAGAAGACCAGCGATGATGAGACACCCCTTGCAGCAGCTCGGCCAAAAGCGCTCGGGCTCCGAACACCGCGCAACGAAGTCATACAGGTGCCGCAAGACTGGGAGCGCGCTGCGATTCAACATGGCGATATAAATGTAGCGCCCGATCAGCCTCTCGACGGCTTTTGCGGAAACCACGGGCCCAGTACTCAACCACTCAAACACCACGATTAACTCCCAAAGCTTGTCGGGGTCCGGGCTGAGGGCACCAGCATCGCCGTTAAGAACCGAGCCCAGCACGCGGGTGACGAGGGAGGGTCCTGACACGTCGTGTATAGTGAGCCCGTCCTGCTCCAGATCTCTCTGAACTTCATCGCGCAGCCCTCCAGCTTGCTCACACAAAAAAGCACCTGCATTCGAATTACCGCAATACGCCATGTAGACGCGCTCGCCTGCTTGCAGGCTCGGAACGGGGCGCCCGCCCACGAGAACGAAACCGTCTGGGACCTTCCTTCGGGCGACCTGCATGTGATACTCTTGGACCAACCAGAACGACCAAGTCAAACCCATGGGTGGAGCTGCCAGGCACATCGACACCCACTCATCAACCCTGAAACCGCGCAAGAGCTCCCCCGGCAAACCAGCTTTGAACAAGTCCCCCACGGCCGCATCGACCTCGAAAGCGAAGAAATCCGAAAGCTCCTCCGAGATACCGAACTCGTAGAAACAGTCCCTGATGTCTCCTTCGGCCCCGTGCAAGGCCTGGCCCACGGGGGCCCCCAGGTCACTCAAAGAACTTAAACCACCTAGCTCAGCGTGAGGGGGAGGAGCGAGTCTAAGATTACACTAACGGCAGTCGAGGACCAGACGTTGCCCCCCCGACTTCTTCAAAACCGAGAACGCCCCAATTCGAGCAGCGGGGCGCCGAGTGAACCTCACGAGCCCCCGAGAAGCCACCCTGGAGGCAAGAGCCGCGAAGCTCCCAGGTGCTTTCAAAAGCGGGTCCGTGCACGGGGGGCGCTCGGGATGCCTCGTCGGACAGCTGGCTCCAGACCGCAGCCCCGACGAGCATCTTTTCTTCAAAATTCCGAAGGCACTTCTGAGGTAAACCTTCCAAGACTGACTCCAAATCAACAAGCAAACGCTCCATGTCCGGAAGCGGCAGATTCTCCAACACCACGGGGGCCCGGGTACCCTGCCCATGGCCCCCTGCATAATCATGCTTAAAAACCCGAAGCCCCTGGAGGGCCCCTGGGCGAGTGACGCTCGGAGGCCCGGGGCCCAGCTCACGCACGCGCTGGGTCACATGATCAAGAGCAGCACGCTGGCACTGCGGCAGCGCCATCAAGTCGCTAACGGCAGGAGGCGCAGGCACAGCACGAGCACCGAAGTACATAGAGTTGAGAGCGCCCACGGACTTGTTGACTGCAGCTGCCACGGCCCACCGACGCGTCAGGCGTCGCGTCGTGGAACAGCACATCCCTCGCAGGTCACCTCGTCGCCCTTCGGCGAGACGAGGCCGCGGGAAGACGTCACGACACCTGCTTGGAACGTTCTCTCCCTCAGGAAAAATGGCTTCACCGCGCGGCTCGGCCATGACTCAGATCAGGTAGACAGCGGCGGCCAGGTTGAGTCGAGACCCGACCGCCACTCGCTGCACACAGGCTCTCGGGGAGCGACGAGATGCGGCCGAGCCGGTCCGCGCCTCTCAGCTCGCGCGCCACTGCCCCGGCGGCGCCGGCACCAGCTGCGCCGCCCCGGCCGCCGCGTCCACGACCGCGACCAGGGGCAAGCGAGCGCGCCTCCGCCGCCTTGCGCTTCTCTTTCGAGATGGCCGCCTCAGCCCGCAGCCGATCAGACACGTGAGCGGTCAGCGCCGGCGACGCCAGCGCTCCCCCCGCCCGCGCCCCGTCGCCCAAGAAGTGGGCGGCCCCCTCGTAGCTCGGAGCACTCGGGTTGGCGCGATGCGCTTCTGCAATCAGCTGCCGCCTGCGAGAGACCGCCTCCATGCACGCCAAGTTCACAACGTTCTGCCCGTCGTACGTCACCGAGAGCTCCTGCACCAGCGCTAAGTTGGCGTCCTCGTGGATGGAGCGGTCGCCGTCCGGGAGCTTCGACTCAGCAAACCACTTCGAGTGCTGCGCTCGAGGCCCCATCCGCCAACTTGATCATCTCTCTGCATATCCATTCGGTGGTCCGCGGCCCATTCAGAGGCCAGTCGTCGAACTCTGTCAGCGTCATCTCCTGCACCGACTGCCGAAACTCGCGCCTGCGCGTGCCGTCGGCCCCGTACCGCGCCGACAACGTCCGCACATCGTCGCCGACGGCCTGGTCGTTGCCGTGGGTTGCCGTCGCAGCCCTGCACCACTTGATACGCTCCGCACAGAACGCATCGATCTCCGCCTGGTAGTTGTGCAACTGCTTGACGAGCACGGGCCTTGGGATCTGCATGTTCGGCAGCACCATGAGCCCGTACCCGTTGGCTTGCGCCGCGCCCGCCGGCACCGTGACTATCTCGCCGATGCTGTGCCCGTCTACGTGCTCCGCGAGCACCCAGGCGACAGCGGGGGCCGCTGACGCGCGGCTGTCCGCGGCAGCGCCCGCGGCGCCCCCGGCGGGCACGCCGCCGCCACCAGCAGCGCCTCCTGCACCACGAAGGGCGACGACCCCGATCGCCTCGGCCAGCAACTGGTCGATCTCTGCGTCGGTCGGCGCCTGGCCGAAGCGATACAGGCGGGCACCACCAAGCCCTAGCGGCAACTCCCCATTGTCGCCTCAGAACCTCACCATATCGAAAACATTATGAACGCTCATGTCCTCATCGTACACGTCGAAGTCTGGCGTCGCGACTGTCACGAGGCCACCGACCATATCATTCAGGAACACCCGCTCGTGTGACAAGTCCTCGCCCGCGCCCGCGTACTTCACCAAAGCCCGTCGCAGTGTCATCCCCCCTGGTCCCGTCGGCAAGGGCCACCAGTCCGCTCCTCGGACTCGAGGAACTGGGGGCGGAGGGGGCCCGCCTGGCAGCCCAACCAGCGCCATACTGAACGAACGTGACGGTCACCTGCACCACTGAGAAGAAGAGGCAGACGAACGCGCACACGATGAGCTGCCACGATTGGTGACCCCCGCTGCTCGGAGTCGACACCGCCTCACACTGGCAATGGCAATGGCAAGTCGGCTCTGGGATCTCTGGGCACTTCACCTCAGCCCTCCCCGCCGCTCGCGCCGCCTCCGCCGCGTCCGAGAAGACGCCGCGCAGCACCCAGGCGGAGAAGGCGGTGACCACGCTGCTGGTCGCGACCTGCACCGACGCGGTCGAGGCGATGAAGGCCCAGATCATTCACCCGCGGGGATGGTCCGTGCGCTCCTGTGGCGCAGCATAAAACCTTTAGGATTGAAAAACGGCCGCGGGGAGGCACGATCAATGCTGTGCACCGCACTCTCATCATCGTCGTCATCCTCACCATCATCATACTCATCAGCAGCAGCATCATCATCATCAGCAGCAGAAGCAGCAGCTGCAGCATCAGCATCAGCAGCAGCAGCCGCAGCAGCAGCATCAGCATCAGCATCAGCATCAGCATCAGCATCAGACGCATCATTATCATCATCATCATCATCATCATCATCATCATCATCATCATCATCATCCTCATCCTCATCCTCATCCTCATCCTCATCCTCATCCTCATCCTCATCCTCATCCTCCTCATCATCATCATCATCATCATCATCATCATCATCAGCAGCAGCAGCAGCATCATGCTTGTCCTCCTCAACCCTCCTCCTCACTCCTCCTCCCTCCCTCCTTCTGGTGGCTGGCTCCTCCAAGGGCGTCCAGATTGGCCTCTGCTGCAGGCCCATCGACAAGCGCTCGTCGGACGCCCTCCCCATGCCCCATTCTTCGGGGAGAGAGCGAGGAGAAGAGAGATAAGGAGGAGGTCGTCCAGGTCGTCATCGCCGAGGCCATCGTCGTGGTCGTCGTCGTTACCTCTCCTTTCTCCATCCCTCAGTGCCTCCTCCTGCTCCTCCTCCCTCCTCCCTCCTCCCTCCACCTCTCTCTCCGCCTCCGCCTCCCTGCTCCCTCCTCCTCCTCCTCCTCCTCCGACTCCTCCTCCTCCTCCTCATCCTCCTCCTCCTCCTCCTGCCCCTTCTCCCAGAGCACACCCAGGACCGCGTTGGGGAAGGAGGGGGGCGGGAGGAGAAGGAGGAGGCGGAGGAGGAGCAGGAGCAGGAGGGGGAGGAGGGGGGAGGGGGAGGGGGAGGGGGAGAGGGAGGAGGAAGTCGAGAACGACCACTGCCACTCCCCCGATCTGCCTTTCCCGAGTCCTTCGGCCGGGCGGCCACTGCAACCGTAATGGCTCAAGCTGGCCAGCACGGAGCGGCTGGGCGCGGGCGCGCGGGCCTTCGCCTGCGGGCAACTTGCACGCGTGCTTGGCGAGGCGCCGCGTGCGAAGGGAAAAGCTCCCTTTCGACTTGGTGGCGGAGCCTGCGCGGACTGCGGTTGGGCTCCACGCTGCACTGCGCTCCACCAGGTCATCGAGGTGACCCACGGCTGCGGAGCTCAGCCAGCACTGAGGCAAGGCGGCTCCGAAAAGTACACGATGATCTGCATCTTCGTTGTCAAGATGGAGATTGGCAACGTGAAGCTCGAGGTTATGGGCTCGCTGAAGGTGCCTCTGGCGCGGAGTCCAGAGAACGACAACCAGTGCCCGTGCCAGTTCTGGCTGGCAGACGTCACGATGTGGGCTGCGGCTGCACGAGAAGTACTTCCTGAACAGCAAGGTCCGGCAGCGGCGCTGAGGCTTGGAGGAGCGGCGAGTCCATGGCCAAGGGGATCCCGCGAGAGCACTTCAAGGGATCCGGGTGACTGCCAGGGAGCTCCACAGCTCACCGGTCTCCAGCTGCTCCTCCTGGTGCTCTCCAGGTCGTTCGCGCCGCTGGGCGAGGAAAGCGCTCTGAGGGGCATTGGCAACCTGCTGAGTTGCAGCAGGAAGCACAGCGAGACCGTGGACCAGACGCAGGTCGGAAGCTAGGCAAGGGCTGCTAAAACCGTGGCTGCTAAAACGGCCCTCCCGGAAGGAAACAACAACTTCCCGGAATGAGGCGCGGCACGCGAAACAGTCAACGGGCTTCTTCCTGGAAGGACGAAGACAACTTCCCGGAGGTCGATTTTAGCAGCCACGGATTTAGCAGCCCTTGCCCAGCTTCCGAGCAGGACTGGACGAGGCTCGAGGTCACGCGGCACCGCGCCCTCAGCCTCGGGACCTTTGGCATGGCGCCGCAGTGGCACCCTCGGATGCTGCTGAACGCTCTGGGCTGCAGCTCCCAGGAGTGGAGCGGGTTGCTCGTCCGTTTCTGCGGGCATGTGCCTGCGACTGGTCAGCAGTGCAACGAGCTGGTGGAGTGCATCAGACGATACAGGCACGTCCTCGAGCGCAACCCCATGACAATCAACGGGAATGCCAGTGATAAAGGCCACTTCTTCTTATTATTGGTATTAGTAAAAGTATTCGTATTAGTATTAGTATTCGTATTAGTAGTAGTCTCAGTATTAGTATTAGTATTAGTATTAGTATTAGTATTAGTATTAGTATTAGTATTAGTATTAGTATTAGTATTAGTATTAGTATTAGTATTAGTATTAGTATTAGTATTATTAGTATTAGTATTAGTATTAGTATTAGTATTAGTATTAGTATTAGTATTAGTATTAGTATTAGTATTAGTATTAGTATTAGTATTAGTATTAGTATTAGTATTAGTATTAGTATTAGTATCAGTATTAGTATTAGTATTAGTATTAGTATCAGTATTAGTATTAGTATTAGTATTAGTATTCGCATTCGCATTCGCATTCGTATTCGTATTAGTATTAGTATTAGTATTAGTATTAGTATTAGTATTAGTATTAGTATTAGTATTAGTATTAGTATTAGTACTAGTATTAGTATTAGTATTAGTATTAGTACTAGTATTAGTATTAGCATTAGCATTAGTATTAGTATTAGTATTAGTATTAGTATTAGTATTAGTATTAGTATTAGTATTAGTATTAGTATTAGTATTAGTATTAGTATTAGTATTAGTATTAGTATTAGTATTAGTATTAGTATTAGTATTAGTATTAGTATTAGTATTAGTATTAGTATTAGTATTAGTATTAGTATTAGTATTAGTATTAGTATTAGTATTAGTATTAGTAGTATTAGTATTAGTAATAGTATTAGTATTAGTATTAGTATTAGTATTAGTATTAGTATTAGTATAGTATTAGTATTAGTATTAGTATTAGTATTAGTATTAGTAGTATTTAGTATTAGTATTAGTATTAGTATTAGTATTAGTATTAGTATTAGTATTAGTATTAGTATTAGTACTAGTACTAGTAGTAGTATAGTAGTAGTTAGTATTAGTATTAGTATTAGTATTAGTATTAGTATTAGTATTAGTATTAGTATTAGTATTAGTATTAGTATTAGTATTAGTATTAGTAATAGTAATAGTAATAGTATTAGTATTAGTATTAGTATTACTAGTAGTATTAGTATTAGTATTACTAGTAGTGTTAGTATTAGTATTAGTATTAGTATTAGTATAGTACTAGTATTAGTGTTAGTATTAGTATTAGTATTAGTATTAGTATTAGTATTAGTATTAGTATTAGTATTAGTAATAGTATTAGTATTAGTATTAGTATTAGTATTAGTATTAGTATTAGTATTAGTACTCTTATTGTTTTCATTATTGTTATTGGCATTATTGGTTTTGGTATTGCTATTGCAATTTGTTCTTACTAGTCGTCTGCTGATTGTGGCTAGCATTCTGATTTCTAATATTTAAATTAGCTAGTGTTATTATGATCGCCGTTATGATTAGTTAAAAATTGCGTTGTACTTCTTCTCACCATTATGATTATTTAGTGTTCTTCTTGTCTCCATTATGATGGTCTTCATAGTATCATTTGTGTTCGTAGTGGTATTCGAATTACTTGTATTATCACTCTCATTCATACTATTCATCATCTTCCAAACATTCGCCTTGAACGGCGGAAACGGCCCTCCTTCCAGAGAGGCTGGCGCTGGCATGGCAGCCCAGGCACAGATCGGGCTAGCAGGTTCTGATTTGCAGACGGCCTCGCGGCCAGAAACATCAGGATGGACACCGTCATTCCAGTGGGATCTGACCCTCCTCCTCCTGATCCGTGGAGCGCGTACCTCGGCAACGGCGGTAACGAAGACGATGACGATACGGATACTGACGACGACGACGACGACGACGACGACGACGACGACGACGGAGACGATCTAGATGGGTCGGATTTTCCACGACAGATCGGCCAGGACGACGAGGTGATCTAGCAGTACCTCTATCAGTGCTACGTATTCGCCAAGAAAGGCTGGAGACGATTCACTGGACGACCGCCGAGGTTCCAGAGGTCCGGACAAGAACGTAGCAAAGGCAGCCTCCTGGCCGACCGCGGAAGCGCCTTGGGACCAAGAAGGTGGCGCGTTTGACGGGCGCTTGCCTTGGGAACATTCGGCGACGCGTTTGAACCAGGGGGGGCCCCCCGAACATTCGGCGCCGTCGAACCAGGGGGACTCGAAGCGGCGACAAGCAGGGCGAAGACGACGACGACAACGTTCCTTCTACTCTTCTGCCCTCGGCCCTGAATTCGAGTAGGGGATCGACTACATGATCGATTTACCCCAAAAGTGCTTTCCCGTCGAATCGACGATCCATACATGCAATGCTCTGTAGATCGGCTGACCTTTTCTAGGTATTTTCCATGGGCTCGACGACAAAATCAATTTTGGGGCAAGCCGATTATGTAAACGATTCCCTACACGATGGATGTCGGAATATCTACGGGCCCAAACTTCAAATGTAAGTATTCTTCGCGCTGCGTCGCAACGGCGGCGACGTCGTGGTCGTCGTCGTCGTCAACGTCGTAGTCGTCGTCGTCATGCTCAAAGTCGTCGTGGTCGCCGTCGTGGTCGTCGTTGTCGACGTAGTCGCCGTCGTAACCGTCGTCGTCGTCGCCATCGTCGTCGTCGTCGTCGCCGTCGTCGCCGTCGTCGTCGTCGTCGTCGCCGTCGTCGTCGTCGTGCCCGACGTCGTTGTCGTCGTCGTCGTCGCCGCCGTCGCTGTCGTCGTCGTCGTCGTGGCCGTCGTCGCTATCGTCGTCGTCGTCGTCGTCGCCGTGCTCGCTGCCGTCGTCGTCGTCGTCGTCGTCATCGCCGCCGTCGTCGTCGTCGTCACCGCCGTCGTCGTCGTCGTCGTCGCCGTCGTGCTCGTCGCCGTCCTCGCCGCCGCCATCGTCGTCATCGTCGTTGCTGTTGTTGCCGTGCTCGTCGTCGTCGCCGTCATCGTCGCCGTCGTCGTCGTCGCCGTCGTCGTCATCGTCGTCACCGTTGTCACCATCGTCGTCGTCGTCGTCGCCAGCGTCGTCACGTCATCATCGTCATGGTCGCCATCGTCGTCTTCGTGCCGTCGTCGTCGTCGTGCTTGTCGTCGTCGTCGTCGAAATCGTGGTCGTCGTCACCGTCGTCGTCGTAGCCGTCGTCGTCGTCTTCGTTGCCGCCATCGTCGCCGTTGTCGTCGTCGCCGTCGTCGACGTGCTCGTCGTTGTCGTGCTCGTCGTCGTTGTCGAGGTCGTCGTCGCCGTCATCGTCGTCGTCGTCGCCGTCGTCGTCGTCGCCGTCGTCGTCATCGTCGTCGTCGTGGCCGTCGTCGCCGTCGCCATCGTTATCGTCGCCGTCGTGGTCGCCGTCGTCGCCGTAGCCGTCGTCGCCGTCGTCGCCGTCGTCGTTGTGGCCGTCGTCGCCGTCGTCGTCGTCGTCGCCGTCGTGCTCGTCGCCGTCGTCGTCGTCGTCGCCGTCGTGG